GCTCAATTTTTTTTGTGTCTGAATGTGGTCTAGACTCTTCTATACATTTTTCTGTAGAGTGAGTTCACTTGAGTAAAGCAAATAGTCACTTGGGGCTCATGTTCCCTTAAGATGAGTGTCCTTAAAGTGAGCCAGTTAAGCACATTTGGGCCTGGGCTCCTTCTGGGGAATGTGTGCGACACATGCAAGTGTTGTCTCGGAAGCCACCATGGTTCTTTGCTTGGGCAGATAGTAGGGCAAGGGCAGGGAAGGGACAGTGTATAAACCAGGTTAGTGAGGCGCGCCAGAAGCCACGTCCCAGACTCCAGCCAGAGACCAAATCAAACTAGGAAATAAAAGAGGCATCAGGCATAGCGACAATCCTGGAGCAGGCTTCCTCCTACAGCTTTTGATGCGAACGTCAAACAAGGGCCACATTTTCCACACTGGGGCGCCTACACGACTAAAATCAATTTAGACTTCTATTTCTAGGAGATGTCACAACTTAGATTTTTTTTTCTTTTTTAAAAAAAATATGAAGCTATTTTAAATCTGCATCCAAATGCAAGCAACTGAGTTTGAACTACTCTCGGGATGCAGTCTGTAATAGCCATGGCTGAAGATGGAAACTTCCAGGATGGACACCAGGAGCCTGGGACGTGCTCGTCTCGGAGGGGGCAGGAGCTGTCACTCTGTATCACCCCCTGCCTTTAGGAGAATGTGAGGCCTAACCGTGCAGAGAAACTCTGCAGGGGTCTTTAGAAGTGGGGTCATCCCTCTTCCTCTAACCCTCTGTTGTCTGTCCCCAAGCTCTTTGGCCTGCAATCTGAGGAGACAACTGACTTTTCATGTTTTATACATTTTATTCATACATTTCTCCAACTTTGAAATGACAAAAGCCCAATTCTATGGTTTCCCATTACACAGCATCCTACAGGTATGTATATTCTACAAAGAATACTATGGAGTTTCTCTTCTTCCCCTGTCACACGAGATAACTGATTAGGGTTTCATCAACTTGTACTGTGCTGGCGGCGAGCCAGCATTCTGGTTGTTCCGGCGACAGGGCAAAGGGATCAGGACGGGAGGGCGTGTGCTAAGGCATGTAAATAGATACACACAGAGAGAAAGAAAAGCAGGACATTTACAAAGAATCCGAACCTTTCCAATCCCTTCAGCTCCTGGCTGTTGAAGGACACCTCCTGCACAAACGCTCTTGCAAGCTAAGGCTTTGCTGTACCCTGCAAATACTTACAATTGGATACGGTGAAATATACAACAACCATTAACATCTCTCTCTTTTTATCACTGAGACAATACTTCAACACCTTTTATAAAAAGGCAATAATACATACAGAAAAAAGAACACGTTGGCAAAACTTTATGCAAAACCACCCCAGAACTGAGTTTGAATGGCGACGCGCCTACATTGCAATGAAACACGATGCTCTGGTCTCAGCACGTGAGAGTTGTGCGGCCTTCGGATTAGTCACGTGGCCTGCTGCACCTGGCAGCCGCCCACCCGCCTGCACAGATGACATTCTGGGAGACAGCTAAGACAGGAAATCAATCCCCCTAATTCTTGGTCTCTTCCAAATAAAAAAAATTCAGTGGAGCTGCTCACTGTGGAGGAATACCTATTTCTATTCCCAAGGACAACTCCCACTACAGAGATTATACTTCCTCTGGGTCCAGAGATGGTCACCCCCCCAGGCCTCTGTCAGTAAGAGCCCTGGTGTGTTCCTGGGTCATGCGCCAGAGAGAACAGAGCTAACACAGAAGTGGCAGCTAAGTTCTGAGTGTCTGAGCATACGTAGAGATGGAGTTGTCTTGGGCCCAGAAAGGAGCTCTCCTGTGTGGTGACAAACATCTCTTTCCATTTTCTTTTGCTCAGTCCATTTGCACAGGTTCAAGGGAGTTGATGGAGGGTTAGGTGAGAGGTGGTGGGAGCTCAGGATTTCCTATCCCCTCGAAGAGCTAAGACTTGGGAGTGCCGGCCCAGAGATGGCAGGGCCCTCTTCCTACTTCTGTTTCTGTGGGCTGTGTCTGACCACCTGCTGCAGCCAAAGTGTCACAGGAGAAAGATCGGATGGGAAAATGGTGGTGGACATACTCTTCTTCTCCCTTTCCCCCACTTTCTGGATGTATGTGACAGCGAAACTGCACCCACTAAGCTGGAAAATCTAAGACTCTCCATATCTCCAAGTTTAAGGCAAACTGATGCCTGTGCGTATGGGCAGAGCCGTTCAAGTGGTGAGCCTTGGGTGTAGTCCTGGAAGCGGAGATTCCAGACAAAGAGGGAAACCTAATTTCTAAAGGAGAAAAGGAAAGGCTCCACCAAATGAAATGATTCGTGATTAAAGCCTGAAGCCATTCTATAAGCTGCAGTGAGAAGCAAAGCGTCTTTGTAAGAGAATTAATTAGAGGCGCAGAACAAGAGAACCGTGCTCAGGGACCTTTAACCTCTTATGAACCGTAATCGGTCTCAGTACTGTAAAGCCCTTGTAAAGAGGACAGAATTAGGAGGCTGTGTTCAGTTCTGAAAAAACAAGAAACAAGAAACACACACCAGTTTGATAATAGGAAGCAAGAAGGAGGAGGGACGAGGGCCATAAGGAGCTTGTTTTTGGAATGCTGATTTCAAGGTGCCCTCTCCTCTTTCTGAGAAGGTGTGGGAGGCATTTCTATTAAGAATTATCAATTAAGCAGTTTTCTTAGTAGCTTTAGCAACATGTTCTCTTTGCCCCAAGTTAAGAAACTGAAACTGACCTGAAATGAAAAAAAAAAAAAAAAGACATCATATCAGTGGGAGACAAAAGAGAGCTGGCTTTGTGCCCCTTGTCCTTAAGGGGCAGTTTCCACTCTGAGAATCTCTACTGCCAGTTTCTTGGAGGGTGGCTCTATTGACTCAACTTTTTCAAGAAATGAATTCAAAGCCTTAAAGAAGAGACAACTACAAGTGATTTAAAAACAAAGGAACTCCTCTGCACCAAAGAGATCAAAGGCTTTTAAAAAGCTAATCTAGCTGGAGTCCAAGCCTGCCTGGAGCACAGAGGAATGCTTGGCTCCCACTGGCTGCCCTCCTGCATTTCTCCTGCCTTGGGGGACTTTGCTGCGACATCTTTAGGTATTCTGCCACCAATAGGAAGGGCTGGGATGATGCCTTCTGAATGCAAATAGCAAGAAGTAGGTCAATCATTTCTTTTCCTCTCTGAGCAAATATTCCAAACCATCTCACCTGACAAGAGATACATTTAATTGCATTTTAAAAGGCTACAATGTTATCTTGACACTGGGAAACTTCCAGATGAGTTAAATTGAGTGACATTTCCCTTTATAGCATTAAAATTGAATATACTGCATGTGCAAAGTAATTACTGTCTTATGATTGGAAAATCAGGACATTTTGTCTTTTTAACAAGGAGTTCGACATATAAAACACTCCCTTTCTGGCTGTGGGGAGTGGGGTTGGGGTCGGGGAGAGAACCCTCAGAATATGGCTGTTCATAATCAACGCTTCAATTGACCACTAATAAGATTTAGTAATCTAATCATTCACTCTGGTTTTTAAAAGGAAAAAAAAATCGTTCTTCTGATGGAATGGAAGCAGTAAAGAAGCTTTTAGCAATTTTCTCTGATTGCTTAGTGGACAATTGTAATGTAGCGGCAGCAGCAATGTACTGAAATTACTCTGATTTCAGAAATTTAAGTATTTTCTGCTAGATCATAAAGACACTGCTTTAAAGAAGATGTGTTATCAGTGGAATGGAACAGATGACCTCTCTGCGAAGTCGAGGAGTTCTGGGTGCAGGAACTTCACCATCTGTATGATGGCAAGAATGATGCCTGCCTGTGTGCTTCTCGGAGGATGCAGAAAGCCATCAAGAAGAGGACGAGTGCCACAGACATTTAAGTCTGCATTGTTTTTCTCCTCCTCTGCTTAATCCACCTTTATGAACATGGTGGATGGCTTAATATGGACAGCATTAGCATCTGTGGAGATTAGGTCTCAAAGGGGGCAAGTTGGGGCATGGGGGTTTCCACCAGAGGGAGGGAAGTCTCTGTTTCCCATTTGTTAGTTATAATCGTCTTTGTGCTTCTCTGGGAAAGAGGTAGAGCGGGCGCTTTCACACTGAGAGCCTGGATTGTGGTCAGTGCCATTACAGGAATGACTGTCTGGCCTTGGCATCGATTAGATTTAAATCAGTCCTCATGTAGCCCTAAACAACTCTTTGAAGGTTTCTCTCTCCACCCAGGGTGAGACCGCAGTTGAGTTTGTCTCTGGTGCTTTGCTCACCCCACCGTGGGGTCCAAACAGAAGTAATTCCGACTCAGTACCTTGTTAGTAAATTGCAGACTCATCTGGTCACTGACAAAGAACAACATCAGGAAGAGAAATCGGCTTCGTTTAATAATAGTAGGTGGGGGCTGGGGTGTTGACAACGTAAAAGGAATATACAAATGCCTTCTCTGTTTGGTCCTTTAAGAGGAGCTGTTCAGCTCAGAACACACCCTGCGCATCCTGCCAAGGCACAAAGTGACTGAGGCCATCTAACTTGCAAGAAGCAAAAATGATGGTATGTTTTCAAGGATCACAGGTTAATATAAGCACTTCACACCCTCACACTCTAATGAAAAACATTCTACTGACCTCTGGCAAAGAATCTGAGAACCCCCAGGCTGAATCTCCTGTTTTAGAAGAATGTGACCTTATGGAAGGGTTATGAGATGGTTGATGTCTCTAAAGCAACAAGGACAAATGATTCCCCTGTGCCAAGGGACACAGCAAGAGGAAGGAGAAACCATAGGCGGCCTCTAATCTAGTACACCCGTGGCCCTCGGGCTCATGGCCCTCTGAGCTGTGCTCTGGGCAGGCTACTTTGTCGCCCGGCCAACCGATACTCACTCCTGGGCCTTCAATGGTTCAGTGAGCATCTAACAAATTACAAAATCGAAAAGATTATCAACTTGGAAACCTGAACAAATCTATAATGAAATGAAGGACCCAAAGGCATTTAATTATTGAACACATAAAAGGAAGTATATTTTAAAAAAATTGGTCAAACTATCCTGTTAGTTATCATTTTAAAGGAATTTACAGGGCTGTTATAGATTATTCTTTTGGAATAATTCAGTTTATAGCAAATGCCTAAACTGGTTTCTTCATTGCACAGTATTTTCTCTTAAAATGGGTGCTTTAAAACAATTACATACAGATTAAAAATCCTCATTTCTTTGCTTAATTAAAACGTTAATACTCTTAGACAACACAGATCTGAAATGGTGAAACCAGCAATTCCCCCTCCCACCTTACAACAAATTAAATTGAGACAAAATTACAAACACATTTCACTACATGATTATTATTAATAAAAATCAGGTTTTTTTTTATAAAGTTGCCCAAAATGCAAGGGATGTGCATAGGTTTACAACTTAGTCATAATAGCATTTTATTCTTATTCCCCTGGGTGTGCCCTATGAACGGAATGTACTTTGCTGTAGATTACAGATTGTTTGTCCAACACAGACACACCGACAGCATAAACGCTCGCGACTGTCCACATGCATTAAGAGTCAAGACCCAACTTCAAATCTCTAAAAGGTTTACAGGGTGCTTCAAAGAGACAGTATCACATTATCTGGATGTTACATAAAGGACTTAAAAAAAAATACTATTCTAAAAAAAAAAAAAGAGAGAGAAAAAAGGCCTTTAAAAATTTATGACTGTTTTGTAATCGCTACACTAATTATTTCAAATAAATAAAGGAAAGAAAGAGATTCCAATTCATAAAATCAGACTCTAAAAAGAATGTAGTGTTCCACCCCCAGTCAAGGTAACAGAATCATTGTTTATTATTATTAAAATAGATTATAGAAAGCAGCATCTATTTTGTGCAGTTTTTAGGGGCCTTGGAAATAAAAAGCTATGATTTCCAAAAATATAACATTCCAAAGGATTGAATAATACATACATTTAAAGATACATTTTATTAAAGTTTAGGAGAACTGATTAAAAAAGATACTGTCTCTTTAAATTAGTGTGTAATTGTTTTTCTCCTCCTATCTATTCGGACATGACAATAATTATAAATGTAGGTCACACTACAACTAGGTAGTCTCTAGGGACCACGACCTGCTGACACAAGGCCGATAACAAAGAGGCTTTTCCATGTATGAGGTGTTCCCAGTTATGCTCAGATATCTGGGGAGGGGCCTAATAGACCCAGGAGACGGGGACCCACTGCGGGGCTGTGCACACGAGCTCAACGGCTTCCTCCAGATGTCTGATTGTCTCATCAATTTCATTGTTGATAATTGTGAGATCGAAGTAGTGTGCATATGTTCTCTGTAAGATATCAGACTCCTTCTGTAGACGCTGAAGAGATTCATCCTAAATGGTGATGAGACGGAGGTAAGGGTGGGCATGGGAGAAGGGAAAAGCAAACAGAAGAGAGAAGTCAGTTGGATTCATTCTATTTTCACATCTCTGTTCGATCCAGTGTCAGGAACAGTCAAGGCCAGACCCCGACGTGGCCGCATCTGCGCACGAGGCCAAGTCCGCTCCGTGAGAGGGGACGGTGACTGCTCAACATGCAACAGGAGGCTCCACGACAAACCAGATGAACCAGAGAAAACAGACACTCTTCAGCAAACACATCACCCCCACTGAAGCCTGGCTGTGACTGTCCCCACAGTCAGTTGGGGTAAGGCCATGTGAGGCATGGGTCACCAGTGGCTACAGTGGCCCAAGCTGTCCTTTCCTCATTCCTCTAACCCAGGCCCACAGGAGACCCCAGCCCTAGCCTCAAGCCACTCTTTCATTCAGCAGGAGGGCTATGGTAGCAAGGCCAGAGCTCTTCACCCCTTCCCCTTGGTCACTTGAGACAGGCCTCAGGGCCCGGCTGCATTTGCACCAATAAGACCCTGCCTTTGGACAACAACTTAAGTTGTATTTTTTCTACTTAAAAGTTCAGCATGTTCCAGGAATTCAATTACATATAATGGCCCTCTCTCAATAGCAGCTGATGCCAGAGGCAAAAGCTTTCCGGATGTTACAAATAATGGATGGAATAAGGCCATTTCCCAAATAAACAGCAACTGGCATCTGATGAATCCCCCCAAATTGGCCTGCACTGGATGTGGCCAGACAAATGTCACTGTTCATAGGTCCTCATATCTCTTATGAAAACAATTCTGAAGGAAGAGAAGCTACTGAACTGTAGGGAGGTTTGCCACAGTAAAGGATGTTTCCTAAACTATAGCTTGCTACAGATTTTAAGAACTATCACTGGGCTGAGCCAACAGTAGGAGGGAGTTCAGGGTCTCAAGTTTGTCACGAGAGTATAGCTTACGCTACAGGATGGCACTTCTTTCAAGACAGGGATCTCTTGGGGGCCAGCAGAAAGAAGTCTGCCTCTGCATCTTCATGGGTCAAATTTGTTATGCTGAACTCCCAAAGGGCAAGTTCAAATTTGAAACTAGGAAACTTTGTGAGTCAAATTACCCCCACCCCCACCCTCACCTGGCAAACACTAGGTTGGCGAGCTATTGAGCTGCGTCTTAAATATATATAAATACAATTAAATACCTGTTTATCTGATTTGTTGTTCTGTCTCTAACTACGGAGTAAACTTGCCTTGTGCACCCTGTCATTGCCATGCCCTAGTGCTAGGCGTAGTGCCTTGCACACAGTAAGTGCTTACTTAATAAACGCTGTTGAAAGCACAAGTACTTGGCTGACTGGTACTGGCCACTGTAGGATTTTATGAGCATTAAATCTGTAAGACAGAGTAATTCTACTAGGAAATGGGAGCCCAGTGTGACAGAGACAGATCTCCAGAGAAAAGAAAAGATGCAGTGTCTTCAGGACCTAGGAGCTGGCTTAGGACCCCTCCTCTTCTCTGAGGCCCCTCTGTTATTCACAAGAGACCCTTCCTGACCAGGCAGTTGAGAGGTCCAGGCAAGGCTTGGCTCTGTGGGTGTAGCTTTTGGGAAAGCATATCAGAAGTGAGATAAAGATACTGCTTAATTCTTTCCTGGCATTGTACTGGGGATGGGCAGATACCACAACAGTTGGGAACTCAATCTTTTCTATCAGGACACTCTGAACCAAGAATGTCCTACCTGTATGGCGTCTTCTACAGGAATTTCAAAGCAGGACATGGCACGTGTGCTTTGAACGTTAGTGTTAACTACTACAGTTGAAGATAAGACCTCAGACCTTCTAAGATCATATCAATGCATGTTCTGCTTGCACTTAAAAAGCATACTATTTTCACTGTGGCTTTTTACAACCAACACAATGCAAAAACGCAATTCACCCAAAGAAAGGAGTGGTTCCTACCTGTATGAGAAAGAACAATTCCTATAACATCACTCTCTGGGCTAGGGGATTCGATTTGAATATATAGTCCTGGGCTTCAAAAACCACAAGTGGGGTTTATAATTTGCTCAAAAGCTAGCATGATGAAAGTATTCAAGAACATTTATGGCTAAAAGCATCCAATTTTTAATGTAGGTCTCCTTACAGAAAAATAAATCTCCCTCACAGGGATCTTATAAGAGGAAGCTATCTTTGTCAGTTTCTTCTTCGACAACAGCTTGCCTGTGTGCTTGACTCACACGTGAGTGAGCAGGGTTTAACTCAGTGAAAACAAAATGCCTCTATTCTAACAGCGAAAGCAAGGATTTGTAGGAACAAAATGTCTACATTCTAAATCTATTAAAAGAAACAAGGCTGTATTTCATCGCCTCCTAGCTGGTACTTACAGGCAATTTTCTGCACCATTTTGGCAGCTATGGAAAATTAGTAAAAGGGCAGGAAAACAGGCAAAACAAAAACAAAGATGATAATTCAAGAAAAATACATGGCAACCAAAGGACAAAAGCTAGCCACAATACGGAATTTCAAATATGCTTGTATATTAAATAAGATGGGAAAGTAGAATTTTCTTTCAACATTTTGCAAATGAAATGACAAAAAATAATAACTGAAAATATGAGTAACACAGGTAAATCTAAATATTTAGTTTTTCTTCAAGGTACACAGAGTAAAAATTTCCAAACCTTGATTTAACCATATTTTGAGCTTGGGTGAGTTTAGGCTCGTGTTTACTGAACAGAGCCAAGATTCCTCTGATGGTTTCTAGAATCTGTGAAAGTAACAGTCTTCAGGATAACTTTGAATAGGAGTCTCCTCTTAACTAAGGAAGCTATAGTAGACAGGTACCGCTATGCTCACCAGACACGTGATAATGATGTTTCCTATCTTCTCAGCAATAGAAAACCTTCTAGATCAGCTTGGTACCACGGTGTAGCCAACTCTCACAGGTACCATCTCTGTGGCAGCTGCTGACTTGAGTTGGCTTGACAGTGGACAGAGCTCATTTCTAGGTTTGGTAGTCTCCAGGGGCCTGGAGAGAAATTCCATGTGGATTCCACTCCAGAGGCTGCCTAGGGGAACCTGGGCAGCCAGGCCAAGGTCATGGATTCCTTATAGCTCTCTTCAGGCAAGGCAGTCATTGGCCCTGAGCTGGCCCGAGGGCTGCTGCTGCCTTAGCACAATCCCTGCCAGGAGAGGGAGCTGGCAGCCCTGGAGGGTATGAGATGCCCTCAGGCTTTAGAAGTAGGTTTACGGATAAGGCCACAGGCTGTCCCATGGTCCATTCTATTCTACATCCCTTTTCACCAGAGCAGCCTTTTGCTACAAATGTAGACTGACATGCTTCAGACTGTGCTGGGGACTAAGGCTTGAATTTGTCTAATGATTCTGATCTCAGAAGAACCACAGTTTATGCTGCTTAATTCCTAATACTGAAAGAGGACCTCAAGCTCTGGAAATCTTACTGCCCAGCAGCAACAACAAAGCAGAGCTTCATTTAGTTGTCTTAATGTGATGGGGCTTTGGTTTTGAATACACAACACACACGGATCCTTACAATGGGGTGAGCTTATCTGGGGATAAACAGATTGATTCTTACCTCATTTAAACCTGGAGTAATAGTTGGTGCGGCAATAAAAACAACAAAAGGAGCAAACTCTGCAGTTCTCAGGACCTTTAGTGCCTGTGTTAAAAAAAAAAGAGAGAGATTTAAAAGAAGAAATAAATAATGTAAATTTCAAATGAGCCTATAAAAAATTTATACAGCTAAAAATTTCAAGCCCTTGGTTCAAATTTTAGGCAAGGTATTATTAAATTTATCAACTTTATACAAAACTTCTATTACTCCTTTTCTTCTAAATGATGGACAAACAGCCATCAAAAAATAAAAGTTGACAAACTGGACATTTTTCTTACAAATCTCATGAATCAATCTGATTTATTTTTCTTAGTAAAAGTTAATACTGATTTTGTGGGTTAATGTTCATTTAAACCTGGTTATTAGTTGTAGCCTGACTTTAAATTTTAGGGTAGACTTGGTAGACTTGGACCTGTAGGCTGGCTTTCCTACTGATCTGGAGCCCACTCCATCACATTTCAAATTTCAAATTGCTAACCAAGGAGAGCACATCCTGGCCACTATAACTGTGAGGGCTCCATTCACACTTACGTAAGGCCTTCTGAATTGCCCTGATGAAAGGCCCCACGGGACTCATGGGGAAGGGGAACCTTGCCCAGGGCTGGAGGCAGGAGCCCCAGGGTTTGTGTCTTGGCCCTGTCACTAAAGACACTGGGTGGCTGTGGGCACTGAGTAGGCCCACCTGAAAATGCTTCACTCAAGGGAGAAGGACCTGAGACCCCTTTCAGTTCCCTTCCAAGGCAGTGAAAACCTCTAACTGTGCAAGTTATTAGTTTGCATAGATGCACTGCAAAACTGCACTCAGATGCTGTAGGAGTTGATTCTGCTAAGGGATTACTGCGTCAGTTCACATCGCACTCTTGAGATTACAAAGTCCCTTCCAAGGAACGAAACCCAATACATACAGGTGCTCAATTCATAAGTAACTGACATGTAATTAATCCCTAGGTGTGGGGGTGATATCTTGCTGCCCTTTATATGGAATTTAACACATCTATTCTGTTGCCCACATATTTTGCTTTCTAAATGGTCTTTAAACTTATTTGCTTTGCCTGATTCCTATTGCTCCATTTTTTGCCTGGTTTACTGTAATTGCAAGTACACTGGTTGCCCTGCCTCCAGTTTTGCTACTTTCCAATCCATACTCCACCCTGCTATTGGAACGATCTTTCTGAGATGCAAATCCCATGGCTCCCCCGCTCAAAATCCTTTAATAGCTCCCACTTGGCCTCAGGATAAAATGTACACTCCTCAGCATGAATGTCAGGTCCCTTCCTCACAAGTGGGCCAGTGCTCAACCTCTTTAGCCTCTCTCTGTCCTTTCCCCACCATGGACCAGCCTTACTAAGGAACTACTTTCAGTTCCAGAAAGGGCCAGACTCTCTCCGGCTTCCTGGCCTTTTTACTTACTGCTCCCTCTGTTGGGACTTCCCGTCCCCTCTTCCCTTTCCCCACTTTCCCTTTTCCTTGGCTGAGTAATCCTTTAGAATTCAGTACCGATGTTATTTTCTCTGGAAAGTTCTTTGTGAGCTCTGGGCCCCTCCTATGTGCTCCTGAAGTACCCATCACACTGGAAACCCAGGTCCCTGGGGACTAGCAGGTACACTCCTTGAGGCAGGGACCACGTCTTGTTCAGTTTCTCCTTCAGGCCCAATATGGCACCTGGCATAAACTGCCTTTATGATAAAATTAAATGTAAAAACAGTAAATATAATTTGCTTAAAATTTATCTTGTTTTTTGAGGCAGGTTCAACTGGAACACACTCTGCTCTCTTGGCTGGAGGGACTTTCTTGGCCTCTTTGCATATACAGGCATGTAAGAAACAAATTTGATATTAAAGGTTCTTTCTTTTTTTAGTGCAACGCTCACTTTCACTAGGATTCTATTTCTGAATTTTGGTCACACAGTATCTTCTTGGGGGTTAAGGGAGCCTGGCACATTGTATCTGTCCATCAAAGTTCTTTAATTGTTAAAGTCACAGACTCAGATTCCTGTCATAAGAAAGCTCTTTGAGCTTGCAAATGTTAATTTTTGAAAGATATAACTAGCAGCCTCTTTGCCAATCCTTCTGTGACTGAAGACTTTAGCAAGGAACAAACATCATGAAGAAGTCCATATATAGCTCAATCGAGCTAAAAGGGATCCTCATTTAGAAATGTCCTTTTTGTCAATATTATCTTGGGCCTTTTTTCCTTCCTTCCTATGCTCATAATCAGGTGAACACAGCGTCAGAAGAGACAGAAGGTTTTCTCATCACCCTACCCCGTCACACACACACACCCGCCCGTAGCCAGCTTCTGGGCAACTGAGATGGGAAAAAAAAAATCCCATTTGCTTCTCTCCCTGAAGCTACTCTGAGTGCCAGATGGAAGTCCACGCAGCCTGGATGCTGAACAGAACCCACGGATGAAGTCAAGGATGACGCACTGGGCATGAATTTTTTTTTCTCCACTCAGTGACCCAGCCTGTTAGCTACCCAATCCTTTGAATGTTTTCAGTTCTAGCCTGCTATCATATTATGACAGCAGAAAACAAACTCCTTGGAAAACATTAGTTTAGCTCCCTGCAGATTATCCATCTCTAAGTCTATATCGATAAACATGTGAGGGTCGTTCTACACTTGCTGCATAAAACCATCAACGAGGGCCATGTTCATCACATTGCCAAAGGCTTCTTGTGTCTAAGGATCAGGTTATATTCCTTGATTCCTGTTTTTGCCTTGGTGGCCAGGAAGCTCAGAGCCAAATTTAATGTTTATCACAGTAAGTACAGCAGCCCCTGTGGTTAGCATCTCTGCTTCCCCCTCCTTTCCAATGGCTTTCATTTCCCATTTCTATCTTATATTATTGTATTTTTGAAAATTCTAAGATGCCTCAAATGCTGAGTGAGATTTTCTTGTCTAGTAGGCCTCATATCTTCAGCAGAGTCACCGCATATTTCCTCATCTGTTCTTGAAGGTCTCTGTCCCCATACTCTCCTCTACTTATGGGTCTCAGGTGGGTGCCATTTTTGGTGCAGTCTCAGCCTGGCTGAGGTTCAGAGTTACTTTAGGGACAGGAAATGGACCTGCTCACAAGGATTCCCCTTTCTTAGGCAGTTAATAGGTGACCTAAAGATGAACTCTAAACCCTCTTCCTGATTCAAGATGAGACACAAATTTGTTAATATTCACAGGCAAATCTCTCTTTCTGAATCCCAGAAAGGTTGAGAGAGAGAGAGAGAGAGAAGGAGGGAGGGGACGGGGGTATAAGGGAGAGTACACTCTAGAAAGATCACTGAAAACACGCTGGATTCAAATAGTCAAAGTAACATTAACTGAACATTTTAAGTTAATTCTTTAGTTCTCTTCTGTGGGGATAAAAATTGATTTTATGGCTCAGCTGTGGCCAATAACTAATCGCAGGTTACCATCCTCAAGTTTGACCCAAGTAGCTAAGATGCAGATATCTACAAGACTAATCTGGTTTGCAAACATAAAAATTATATAGGGGAAAGGTATCTGACTTATTTTGTACAAAATTCTAAGGGTTTAGGAAGAGCACAGCAACCCCAAAACCAATCTCAAGAGAGCCAACAGATTTAACAAAATAGCTTCTGGTTCAGAAGCTGGCTCTTGCTTTGAAGTACATATTCCTAACAAGACTGTAAGCTACTTCTTGGTGATGATCTTTGTCTCTGTGGGCAAAAGCAGAACCACAGATATTCTGCTACTGTTAACTTTTTAATGCTGTAAATGGATACACCAGAATTAAGTTGAAATCTAAAACTGTCACATTAAGCTCTTATCGTACATTGGAGCTATTATTGTTTCAGCTTTAGGGACACAGATGAGCTTCTGAGCCATAGCCTTCTTTCCATGAGAAATAAATTCTATAGTTTTTCCAGGTTTGACTGCCTTATAGATTTTTCTAAACATTAAAAAAAATTAGGATTTAAGTTGTACTACTACACGTAAACTGGACCATCTTGAGGATTCCCAGGGCTATCTCTTCTAGGATGGCACAGTGAGAGGAGGTTGGGATTTATTGCAAAAAATGAAAATAAGACAACCAACAGAGTTCGAGATGAAACCTCACTTTCAATTGGCTGTAAAACCTTAGTCGAGTCACAGTTATGTTAAGCCTTGGTATCTTCATCTACAAAAGTAGACACTGATCTGTATCTTATAGTGTTCCAAGGATTAGGTAAGGAGTAATAACACTTGGCAAAATATAAAGCACTGTAAGAACACTATTATTATTTTATAAGAAGCCAGGTTATTAATTTTTTTAAAGTTTAATGTCTTTACCATGGTCTTCTAGTTTTAAAGTTGGACCACAACATCTTATCATATAGTATTATTAGATATGTGCTCAATTTGGCCTTAATTATCTAAAATAAGATGGCACAAAGTATTAGACCTGCACTAAAAGAGCTGAACATCAGTGTTAGGTGGTGTTTCTATGGTCCACATGAAGTGAGAGGCTTTAAAAAAATGCCATGAGGCATTTATTTCTGTTATGGACAGTTTCTGATGTATATCGAGGAAGGAATTTCATCCTCACCAACTTGTCTTCTGAATTGTATTCTTAGCTCCTGACCCGGTGCTTGGTGTATAATAAGTGCTTAATACAAGTTTGGTGGATCCAACTGTCCGTGAGATACAGTAGAAGGGTTAATCTAACAAGCTGGGATGGGAAAAGGGCATGGAGAAAAATGTCCTCAGGAAAGAGCCTCTCTGGAGCAACGAGGCTGTGCCTGAAACAAGTTGCTCATGGCCATGGGCATCCTGAAGACAGGATGAGGGCCTGCCCAGACAGGGAGAGAGTGGGCTGAGGGCAGGAAAGCCCGAGGGTAAAGCCCAGTCAGTGCAGACTGCAGGCACCCCAAGCTGTACTGTAGTACGCAACGGTCAGCATGAGACCAGGACTGGCATGAGGCTGGACCGGGCAGGAGAGCCTGGGACCAGAGTGGCCAAGCAGACCAACAGGAAGAGCAGGACTGAGGTGATCGCTGTCCCCAGGACTGCTGGCCCAAAGAGGCTCAGGCAGAGACCAGGACACCTATGGCCGACCCTCTAGGTTAGGTGGACCTGAGAGATCACAGTTTTGACAGGTGGGGACCGAGGAAGCAGGAGAGAAAGGTGCAGGTGAGCTCATCCAGCAGTCAGGGGAGCAGGGGAGAGTGCGCCCAGCCAGGGCGAGGAGGTGCTCTCGGGCCAAGTGCAATGGGTAAAGTAATTGCTGTGGGTGTCCTGAGGAGGTCGAGAGAAGTGTCTCCCGCTCAGCAGTGCAGAGCAATGCATGGCTGTGCAAGGGCAAGGAGACAGGGAGAGCTGGACGCTATGAGTGGAGCAGCAGCAGCAGCAGCAGCGGTGGTGGCGGCGGCGGCAGCAGCGGTGGCAGGTAAGGCAGAAAGCCCTCGAAAGTGGATTTAGGTAATGCAGAGGGAGTCTGAGGAGCCCTGCAGCCAGCATACTGCTAGAGACATTACTACCAGCAGAAAACGACGTTCAGGTGAAGACCAGTGTGGAACCCAAGGAGAGGATGTCGAAGACCAGGACCAGGATTGAGACTTTGCCTCTAGCCACCCCTGGCCAGAAGATTTTTCCAATCCCTAGTAAGGAGGGATTAGTAGTTAAACAAAAATCAATCTGTGGTACACATTATATATTTAGTTCTATATAGGTCCAAGTTCATTGTTAAGTAAACTATAGTGTTCACCCTACTGTTGCTCTCCTCCCTAGCCCCTTAACCAGGTCTTTTTGTGGTTTCCAAAGCTCAAAGTTCAAGAACCCCATCAGGTGTTGTAAAACAGAAATGGGCGAACCCATTGGCCACGAGTTAGGATTTAGAACCCAGAAACTGAGCCATCAGGCCCCAGGTCACACAGACCCTGGCTATGCAGCTTCTGTCCTTGCTTTGGGGATGGCTAGGAGACCAAGTCTCATGTCGTAGCCCCTGAACAGGGATTTGCCCTGCCTACAACAGCCAGGTAAGCCTCCTGATGAAACAGAGCCTGCTTGAAGGGAGCTGGTCTACCATCTCAGCAGGTGGTGGACTGATTGTACTTCTAAGTGATAAGGGAGTTTGGGTACAGATCCGTCTTAGAAATGGCAGACCCTGGAGGGACAAGGGCACCCTGGAGCCTCTCCTGTAACCTACCCTGACCTGCAACTCCCAAATCCTTCCTACCATGCTTTACATCGCACTTCTACTTGGTTTGTACTGAGGGATGAAAAAACAGCTCGTCAGCATTTATGATGCAAAGCCTTCAGCTTTCTCTTTTTCAAATTTAATAATTCCTATTGTTTCTTGCATAAGACTTATCTACAAATCATTTAATCATCTCTGTGTCTGGCTCTCCTTTGCGTCCTCTCCCAGTTTTCCATCTCTCCTAGTTTTAGCTCAGGGTCAGGCACTGTCCTCAGGTACGGAGATGGCAGAGGCTGAGAGCCACCACGGGGTTCCATCCCTGTTCCATTTGACATCTGGGCTCACTCACGCTTGCTTTCATAAAGCTAGTGCTGTGTTTTAGATCCAGGCCCCAGGATCAGTCTCGCTGGTGATTAACATAAGCTGCTGGTGGAGGCTCTGATGGTCCAGCGTGAGCTATACCAAGAGAGGAAAGGTCCCTGGTTGGGATAACAAAGTGCCAGAGTCTCATCCTGAGGTCAGATGATTGTAGGATTTTTGGCAGGCACAGACTCAATCAGGTACTTTTTTGAGCTTCTGAGTATAACAAACCTCTTAAGAGAATAATCTCTGCTTCCTAAAGGGGTGAGGAACCTGCGGCCTCAAGGCCACATGTGGCCCTCCAGACCCCCAAGTGTGGCCCCTCAACCGAATCCAAACTTCACAGAACAAATACCTTTATTAAAAGGATTTGTTCTGTAAAATTTGGATTTAGTCAAAAGGCTGCACTCAAGGATCCAAAAAGGCCACAAGTGGTCCCAAGGCCGCAGGTTCCCTACCCCTTGCATTCTAAACTGTTAACCCATGGTGCCTGGATTACTGATACTTTCCTGTTGTTTATGAAATTCTTATGTGACCCACGACTTTCTGATGGCATTTTTGATTTCAGAATCTCAGCTTATCCACATGCAGGCAGGATGTTAGCAGTTCGAGGTGGCCAGGCATTACCTGAGGCTCCACGTCCAGTATCGCAATCAGCCCCTGCTCGTGGATCTTCCGGATGGTCTCCAGTTTTGTCCCATACATGGCATCCTCGTGGCTGCCATACTCCAAGTACTCATTATTAGAGATGTCTTGCATCATTTGGTCATGAGATACAAAGTAATAATTCTTTCCATTTTCTTCATCTTTCTTTGGAGGTCTGGTTGTATCTGCAAAGTCACATGTCATAAGAGGCTTAAGAGGCTGAGCTGAAATAAGGAAACTGACAAGGGACTAGCTTAGTTTATGAACCTTCTGTCAGGATTTTAAGACACAATTTATAGCTTGCTTGAGATAGCCATACTCTATAGAAAAATAAAGATGTATAAAGATAGTCAAATGTAATAGAATGTCTTATGTACTTTAATAATGTTTGAGACAATTCTATAAAATAAAAAGGTATTTGAGATGAGGAAAAAAAAGGCTGAGCTGATGATCTTATGTTTCCAACAGACATACTGAGACCCAATCTCTTCCTAAAAGCTGTGGATTCTTTAGTGTATGTTGCACATTCCCTGTTCTCACCCCCAGTAGCTTTGTAGAACTAAATTCTAGAAACTCCGTTTATCTGTGTACATCAGACCACAGCAGCCAGTGGGTTGTTTGGTTTGGTGAATCTTTCAGTTTAGGTGAGGTATATTTCATCCCCTTGATGGGCCAGCCCAGAAGAAATGACCCAAGATTAACATAACTCACTGGATGCTTTAATGCAGTTGGGTCTTGAGCAGAAGGAAAAAAGGAGGACAAAAAAATGGAAAACTACATATGGTTATTTAAATTTAAATAAATTAAAATTAAATAAAATTTAAATTTCATTTCTTACCAGCCACATTTCAAGGGTTCAGTAGCCACATGTGGCTAATGGCTACTGTACTAGACAGTGCAGATATAGAATGCTGTCATTATCACAGAAAGTTCTGTAGGATAGTGCTGGTCTATATCATCTTACAAAAGGAGAATGTTAGAATACAGCAAAAGACACACCATATTGAAAACACAGTGACCTTAGCCAGACGTGGCCATAATTACTATGAAAGACCTAAACCAGGAGGTGGTAAATTGGTTCGTGTAAGTATAAGAACTGTCTGTTCTTGTAAATAAAGTTTTACTGAAACACAGCCATGTACATTTGTTTACATATTGTCTACGGCTGCTTTCATACTACAATGGCAGAACTGAGTAGCTGTGACAGAGACTATATGGTCTTCAAAGCCTCAAATGTTTACTATCTGGTCCTTTACAGAAAAGGTTTGTCTGCCTCTCACCTAAGTATGTGTATACTAAAGTATATGCCAATAACCCTAGTTCTGTGGATATTAATAGGACCAGTATCCTGCAAAACACACTTTAAATTTTTCTAGATGATCCAAGAACATTTGTTTTAATTCTCTCTCTCTGTTCCTTCCTCCCCTTTTCCTTCCTTCCTTCCTTCCTTTCTTTTCTCTTTCTTTCCTGCCATTCTCCTTTACTCTTTCTTTCAATTTCCTCCTTTCCTCTTTGGTTCCTTGCTTGAGCAAGAACAAATTTATGCTACTCTTTGCTGTGTACATGAGCCCAAACCAATAGGAAATTCCCCCTTTCCTGCTAGGCCATTGGAACTGCCAAGTGCTCATGAATGTCAAAATGTGGACATTTTAAAGAGGAACTCTTTCTAGGCACATAAAAAGCTGAAGAAATGGTATCATATAGTGATGTACTATCTTCAGTCATCGCAGTAGTTAAATATATGTTATATACACATCTGGGGTCAAATATTTTAGAGAGTAGACACGATTGACATCAGCAAAGGTAAGCTTTAAAAAACCAAGCTAGTTAACTGGCCACTTAATAACATGGAAGTTCAATTGTTACATGGTCAAGAAGAAGTTAAATGTTAGCTGAATTTCCTGTACTCATGATCTAGACATAAGGGGAATTAAAAGAACATTTTAAAGTGTTTAACTAGAAAACATCAGTAGCACCAAATGAAATGATATTTGGTAAACTTCTTTTCTTGTGTAAATCAGATAGGGTTCTGGCTTTTTTTTTTTTGGAGACAGAGTCTTGCTCTGTTGCCCGGGCTAGAGTGCCATGGCGTCATCCTAGCTCACAGCAACCTCAAACTCCTAGGGTTAAGCGATCCTTCTGCCTCAGCCTCCCGAGTAGCTGAGACTACAGGCGTGCACCACCATGCCCGGCTAATGTTTTCTATATATTTTTAGTTGCCCAGCTAATTTCTTTCTATTTTTAGTAGAGACGGGGTCTCGCTCTTGCTCAGGCTGGTCTCGAACTCCTGACCTCGAGCGATCCTCCTGCCTCGGTCTCCCAGAGTGCTAGGATTACAGGTGTGAGCCACCGCGCCCAGCCGAGGGTGGTTTTCTGAAGCCTCCTGGCTCTCTGAGGTGTACAGATAACTGTAAGTGATGTTGACATTGCTTCAGGAAGGCATCTGAAGGCCCTATAGGATGGAGCAAATCCTCACATTTTCTCCTGTTGCTCTTAAAAGAAATCATTCTCCTTTAGCTCTTCCCAGCCTGAACAGAGCTCTATCTGCTAGAAAGCTTTCGGGATTGAAATTTTAAACTTTAGAATAATGATGATAATAATAAAATGATAGTGGTAAGATGGACCACTTATCCTCCCTCTGCTAAGTGCTTCACACACATGATCTCAAATTCTCATTACAACCCCAGAATTACTTCATTTACAGTTAAGGAAATGAAGAGGGCAAGAGGTTAAGAATAAGATATAGAACATAAGGGGAATTAAAAATCTTACAGATTTGAAATTCTTTATAGTAAACAACTGATAGCACATTGATTGGGTTTTAAAAGTGATAAGAAGTCATAATTTAGATACTGATTGAGTAAAATATTGTCATATTAGCCAAAACTATACAATGATTAAAACTTGTTTTTCTGAAGAATAATTCATCTAGGTAGCGTTTACGACATACTGTTAGAAAAATTAAGATACAAACACAATGAATGAGCCTAGTTTTATTAAAAACACACAAACATAACACACACACATAAACTATATATATATTTGCACTAAAACAAGCCTAGAAAGGTATGCGGTAAAATATTTATAGTACCTATTATTGGGGAAATAGAGTTGGAATTATTGTTAACTCATTTTTTTTCTTTGTTCTTTTTTGGATTTTATAGATTTCTTACAATGAACAGTTACCACTTATGTAATCAAAAAATATGTATATTATAAGGTTAAAAAAGTGATAGAAAAAATATAACGAAAAGAGATTGAGACATTGCTTACGTGGAATAGGGTACGCAAACCGATCCGGGTGCTTTGTGATGAGGGTGTTTTTTATGTGTCTTCTCCCGACACCATGTGCACCTATGTCATTTTTTTAAAAATAATGTTAAAATTGACAACACTTAATAATGTTCACAAAATGTTTTGAAGGTGAGCAGAAGCAAGTCACACAATCAAACTTACCTAATAAGACTAGTGTTTTCCTTTTGAATGCTGGCAGTTTTACTACTTCTTCGTATGTGACAAGATCTAATTGATCAAACACTAAAATGCAAAGATTTAGAAGAAAGGTCAATTTACAGCATGAACATTTCATGTAGGTAAATTATAATTTTACTGGCAAAACTACAGTTATATTAAAACCATGTCTTAAAAAATATGAATCCAACTTATGATATATGGCTTATATGTAATTTAAGTCTATACCCTTTAGGGAGGAAATTTCACTTTTAAGCCCATGAAAATGCACTTTAGAATCAGGGGCATCCAAAGATATGCTGAACACATGCATAAAAGTCCAATTCTAAAAGATACTGCATATCTTTTCATGCAGTATCCAACAAATCATATGAATTCATTCAAAACCACATGCTGTTCATATTTTTCTAATTCTAAGAAATCAGCAATACTAGAAAGAAAAAATCTACAGACAGTGACCAACATGAATACAGCATGAAGGCAACTAAAGTTAACCAAGAGAGGGGCCAGCCAGATCATTGGTAGAGATAGATGAGAAATGCATGGACAGCTGGTCTTTAACTTCATGGTTCTTTCTTTCAACAGAGTTGATGAAGGTAACATGCTAGATTCTTTCAAAGTCAAGTTCTGTAACTATTTCACAAGCTTTTAAATGAGCATCTCACAAGTTTTATTGTAATCCAGATATCCATTCAATGGAAAGTCTTGGGTATGTAAGTAGAAGAACATGCTTCCCTGGGCCTGAAACCCTGTCAGCCATTACTTGGGCAGCCTGTGTGTGGTAGATAAGGATGGACAGGATGGAAAGAATCATGAAGCAGAGTCTGAGCTTGGAAACTTTTGCAAGGGGGTAGTTCTCTAATCATTACAGACTGAGAAGAAATACTTCAGCAAGTATTTTTTGAAACCTGCCTCTTAACACCATTACAAAAACAATTTCAAGTAATGTACGAAACTTTCTTGAGTGGATGACCATTGCTGTTGAAGTTCAACATGGTCCAACTCTCACACACATTTGAAAATTCTCACAAAAGGCTAAAATCATATGTCTATATTTCCTGTAATATTTTTTGCATGGTCATACCAAAATGCTGTCAGTTATACACTGAAGTTTCCTTTTTTTTTTAAAAAGAATACTGAATAAGCCCTGGATTTTAGAGGGGTTGAAATAAATCCAATAAAATTGATTCCATAGTGTAATAAAGGAATCTGGGATGTTTCAGTTAAATCATTAAGAGAAACTTCTACTCCCTGAAACAATATGGCCAAATCATTGTGAATATCAGCTCAGTCCTTAGTAGCAGAGAATCTAAAAATGTCAAATAAAATACTCTGGCATGTAATAGATCAGAAACAAACAAACAAAAAGTATCATTCTCAAAATATATAAGAAAAGAAAGACAATGTATTAAAGTAAGGGTTAGTGCATATTAATGGGTATTTGTGCATTTGTTTTCTTTTGATAACTTGATTCCATAAAGATTGACTAAGTCTTAAAGCATATTTTCTAGCAACAGCTGAAAACCAAGAAATGTTTTCTGTGTTCAGAAGTGCAGATTCACAAAATTAAAATGAACGTGAGGCTCTCTGTTGTAGAGCTGGCTAGTCTGCAGCAGCAATGGAGTGATGAGAGTTGCAAAAATAAAAGCAGGAGTGCTGATGGCATTGCTTTCTACACCTATTGCGCTCTGAGTGATAGTTCCACCAAGAAAAAGTATCCTTATGAAAGAAGTGCATCAACAAGCTGGTATGTTTTATCATATAAAAATAATCAAGCATCTCACGAAAGAGCAAGATGATGACACAAGCTTTCCGAATGGTATACACATCCCTCCCCCTCTACAGAGTCCTAACTCTAATCCTATCAGATTTAGACTTGTCATTTTTTTAAAAAACATGAGTTAGATATCAATAATCAACACCACAAACAAAGAACAGATATGTTAAACATCAATATCTTAACCAGAAATGAGTAGCATGAGGAGGTTACTCTAGTCTAAATGAAATCACCACATGGTCAGAGGGTTGAGAAACAATAAAAAAGGGTATTTCAAAATAAAAGATACAAGAAATATTAGGAGAACACTTAAAGACTGAACTCTTAAAAGTTTTAAGTTGCTTGCTGATTAAAAAAAGGACTTAATAAAAGGAAACTGTCAAAAACACAGAGGCATAGTCATTCAACAGGTTACTTACATGCACAGAGGCCATTGGGAGTGAGACAGCATGAAAAATGTACAGGGGTCATTGAAATATGGCTTTTCATATATTAGTAAAATAAAAGTATAATATGCACAAAATAAACTTTATCATGCAATATTCTAAACACAAGGCAAATAAATCACATCAAGAAACAAACTCATTTTAATAAAAATTTAACAGTATCCTTATAAAAAAGCCAGTGGGATTTATATATTAGCATACGCATAGAAATTTTGTCTGGGAATAGTTACAAGAAACCCTCTTCAGAGAATGTAGATGTGGAAGCCTTTTGCTTTTCACTTTGTACCTTGCTGTGCTGTTTGCAATTTCTAATTTTGTGTGCCTATTACTATTATCATATTTTTAAAAATGTCGACAGGGCAATGAGGTTATGGGCCACTTTTTGTTGTCTTTAGAGTTGTTTGATTCAAGACAAAAAAAAGAACAACTTTTTAAAGTCAACAGTACCAATTTGTGGTATTAAGCATAATTTAAACACACTTATGAATGGTATTGTAGAAATCCTCTATGTTCATATGTATGTATGTAAATAGGGTATTTCAAGACTCTAACATTTAAAAAAATAAATTAATGAATACTTTCTAACTTTTAAAAAAGTTTACATTAGTAACTTGATCTAGAACTGACTTTTAGAAGTCCTGGGACTGAGGAATCTCAATGCCTATAGAGTACAGTTCTTCTAGGAGCACAACAATGCTTTTTGCACCAAATGCATGTGGCTAAAAGTCTTTTATATCTTGCAGAGAATGTACTTGCTGTAAAAAAAAAAAAATACACGCGTCATAATCAAATCTATTCCCAAGGATTCAGAAATACTGTCTGGCATAGTTTGCTCATATTACCCTAATTTCCTGGTAAGCTATTCAACATTCCAGACACTTCTTTTAAGTATTTACGTAATTACTTTCCAGTTGAATCTTTTCCATAAAAAAGCCATTAACATCGAATCCTTGTCTCAGTTGGAAAAGCTACAAATATCTTCAAATACTGTAAACACCTCCAATTAAAAAGTGCATTGTACACCGGTATCATTGGGCCAAGGAGTGCACGCTTAAATGTCTGCAGTGGCCAGGCAGCTAATGTGGTTGAATGAAGTGGGCCAGGTGCAAAAACAGAGTGGTGGGGATGGTGGGTGGAGAATGAGTGTCCATTCAAAAGGGACATTAACAGCCCAGAGTTGCTAAGAGAGAAAGTGGACCCGGTATTGCCGCATTCCCTGTTCTTCCAAGGGAAGTCTGAAACCCAAATTTTTACGTTAAATAGCCTGACTTTCAAATGTGATAACTTATTAAAATTATTTTAAACACTGTGTGTGTGTGTGTGTGTGTGTGTGAACAAAATTTACTTATGGGTTTGCTGCTACTTTATGATGTGAGATACAGGCAACACAGTTTGAACAGAATTCTGCTTTAGCTAGGTATGTGGAATTTCCCAGTGACAGAAATGGAAATAACTAATCTAATATTATTGTTCCTATCCGTTCCAGATATTGACGAAGTTCCCATCCTTCATTTGTACCACAAGTATAAACAACTTCAGAATTTGATGATAAGATTTAGATCTTACCATCAATATATGATGAATTCTCAAAGATTTGAGGCAGGAAACAAAACATATGGCCTTTATTTTAATTTACTGAGTACTATGGAAAGAACAAAGATTATACTGCATTTTATAATCAACTTCTGAAAAAGCCAGAAAAATCCTTCAGAGATATAGTTTGATCTGTGGCCCATGAGCCCATCTGGCTAGTTCTTGGTATTAAAGACTATGATATTTCCAAGTTTTCAAAGCACCTGCTTTACCAATGGAGATTAATATTAATAGTATTCTACTATTTTAGAGCAATTCTTTATATGGGCAATTCTGCAAATTAGGACATACTTTCATCATAGCTAAAAGCAGAACAACTGATAAAATACCTGACTTTGCTTCCTGACAAGCTAATCTCTTGTAATGTAAAGGTGGTACTAAGCAAATGATTCTAGACTTTCTAATGAACAAAGTGGAAGAGCTGGTTGATGAAGCAGAAGAAACCCGAAGAGATTGTGGCATAAAGGAATACTAGGCTTTGTGAGTAAGCGTATTTCAGAAAGCCCAGGAAAAAAGCTGGGCATCCTCTCTCCATCAGAGAAACTAACAGGAGAGCTCATGAGTGATTATTTTGTGGACAAGAAAACCCTAATGATGATATTCTGACTCAAGAATCACAAATAAGCCTAAACACAAAGTTCTACAAACACACTTAAAGGGGACCTTCTAAGGAGCTCAGACTTTCTTTCAAAGGAGGGCCTCATATACAGTGACAAATACTTATATATAGAACAATCCCTTAAGCATGACAAGGAAGGCTCTGATGCCTGGAAGACCATTGGTTAGGAAAATATTGACGATAATAAAAAAAGTGGTGGCAGTAGGTCCCCCTGCCCCCACCTTTCTTCATTTTAAGTTTACAAAAACTTAGATAGGTAAATGGTTTGGGATAAGAGGTGTAATGTCAAATGACAGAGGGAAAAGCAATTCTGTTCTACCCCTATTAGGCTCCTGCCTTCTATATTGAAGGCAATACCTTTCAACCTTGATAGGCAATGTTTACCAGAGAGCTAAAACCTGACATAAGGGACAGTATGAGAATACTTGGCCTCATTAAATGATACCCATTTGTCAGGCCCAGTGATGAAAGAACATTAGATCCACTGAATTTTAGCATTAGAGAAGATCTCCTTGATTGATTAACCTAATTCCCTTGTTTCGCGGCCCATAGGAGCTAAGTGATTTGCCCAAGTGGCATGGTTACTCAGGTGTGCTAATTCCTGGTCCTATCTAAGGCTGCCTGTTAAGCTCACAAGTGCATTTGCAGGACCACTGTGCATCACCTAATAGGAATCAGAGAATGGGAACAACAGAAGAAGATCAGTGATGCCCTGGTGGCCGAAGAACAGAAAAAGTGAACCATGGAAAACATTGGCTGTCAGACTGGATGCAGATTCCCTGGCACAATTCTTAAATTGATTCTTTGTCAGCATTTAGAGAATTCTAGTATTTCAATGAATTCGCTTATTTTTCCTCAGAGCTGAATTAAAGAATATTGGCAAATTGAATAGTCATGTCTACACACCCTCTGTCAATAGAATATAAAACTAACGATGAACTGACAGCCTTAACCAGCCGTTTCTTTGCTTTTCTAGGCTTAAATTAATTTTAGTGCCATCTATATGTATCATTTAACACTGTTATAAAAATTACAAGGTAAGACATATAAATTTCTTATATTTTATAATGTCAACACATCATTATTGTGAGCCTGTTTGATTGTGTTAGATTGTTAGAAGCTGATGGAAATAAAGGCAACTAAGGAGACTTAGCAATACTGCTAAGGAGACTTAGCAAATACTGACATTTTGTGTTAAGCAACGTTTCTTTCTTATTTTTTTAATTTTTATTTTTTAGAGAAGGGGTCTCACTATGTTGCGTAGGCTGGCCTTGACCTCCTGGGCTCAAGCAATCCTCTTGCCTCAGCTTCCCTAGTAGCTGGGACTATAGATGCATGCCATCACACTCGGCTCTGCGGTGTATTTCTTCAAATAGCACTACTTGAGCATTTACTTAATACTTACTACATATGTCTACTAGTCTGCTTTAAATATTTCTTCCCTTTATAAAACCAAAAAAGCCATTATGAGACCAGTGCTCTATGAGACTAGTGCTCTATAGTAGTACATAATCAGAAATGATACATATTATTAGAAATAAAAATGTGGTACCATGTAACTAATGTGAAGGGAAAGACTCCTCATTTAACTGAACCATTTAAACTTAACCCATGTGGCCACTCACATTCATTCCACATTATACAGCATTTCTTTTTTATTTTTTTTTAGAGATAGGGTCTCAGTCTGTCTCCCAGGCTGGAGTGCAGCAGCATAATCATAGCTCATTATAACCTTGAACTCCTGGGCTCAAAGGATCTTCCTGCCTCAGCCTCCCAAGTAGCTGGGACTATAGTCACATGTCACCATGCCTGGTTAATTTTTTAATTTTTTGTTGAGATGGGGTCTCGCTATGTTGCCCAGGCTAGTCTCAAATTCCTGAGCTCAAGTAATCTTCCTGTCTTGACCTCCCAAAGTGCTGGGATTACAGGTGTGAGCCACTGTGCCCGGCCTATACAACATTTCACAATGTTTACTTTTAATCTCTGATTGAGAAGTGAACAATCCAGAGTTTCTAAATAATTTTTCCTAGTGAATGCTAATGCATGTTATAACATTCTACAGAGAAAAATGCATTTTGTATTTGTCAGAAACATTATATTGTCACATTGGGCATGTATGATTGGATTCACTTGTTTTTTTGGCCATTTGTTTGATTTTTGCAGTTATTTCTGAAACCTTGGGAAATAATCTAATGCCAATGTCTGGGCTTTCAATTCCTCGGAAAAAGTTCCTTATAAAAGGAGTCATATTAAGAAGTTATTGAAAATAGGTAAATCCAACTCTGTATATCACCATGCATTTTCTTTTAGCTCAAGCTACATCCTGTGAATCTTCTGGGAATTCTATTGCAATGACAGATCATGCTTTTTTGGTATTCATTTCAGTTTTTAACAAAACAAGTGAACATTTTGACTTAAACACAAGCTTCCATATAGACAAACATACATAGTACGAAGGGAGGGCCAAGGTAATATCCTTGGTCTTTTAGGGGTCTGGAAATACCATGAGGGAAGACAACCAGTCACAGAAACTGACTAACCAAGTTAGCATCCATGTCATCTGTGCTCTTTCAAACTAACCAGTGAACCAATTGCAGCACAGCTCTCTGATAAGAGAACATCTTTGCCCTTAGATTATCTGCCATGGGGCTATGTCCAAGGGCCAGAGAGGAGCCAGGAGGGAGGGTATCTGCTCAAGGCCAATCCCAGCCAAGGAGGTAAGAATCCTGGTGACTCAGCAAACTCTCAAGCACTCAGGGGAGGACTTAACATGTTGGGTTCTTTCAGTTCCGGAGGATACTATTTCAAAATAGCATTTTCATCCTATAAATTATAGCTCTGTAAGATATCTGGCAAATAAACCAACATATTAATTGGAGGTAAGGGTTTCTTAAAGGTTTTGCAAGTTGATGAAGATTTTCATATGGTTCTCTTTGGACAGAGAACTCTGAAGACTGAATTGAAAAGTTGTATTTCTTTAGGTTTTGGAGATGCTTAACCCAGCCTCGGTAACTAGTTGTACTTTTCCCTACCTGCATTGTGCTTTGCCAAATATTTATCTTTGTACTGCTTCTTTTTCTTGCCAAACCAAGTACAGCTGGCCTGTTGCTCCTGTTTGGTCTTCTCCATGGCAATGCAAGCTACTCGCCTAGTACACAAAGAAAGAAAAAACCCAACAAAATTAATGTATAGTTTTGTGTTGATAAAATAGAAGAATCATTTGAAGAATTTACATGAAGCATCACAAATATATTCATCACAATCTTTCAGATGATTCAAATAAAGCCTGTTGTTCTTTGTTTTTCATGACAATTTCCTAGAAATGTTTTAAAAGTATAGGCTTATATGAAAATGGCATTGTATTCCTTTAGCATACACTAACTGATAACACAGATTAGAAGCCTCAACATGTGGCTGTGAGATACAGTGGGATGATCATGGGATTTTGAGTCAAGACAGGCCTGGTTTGAATCCTGGCTTTATCACTCATTAGCTGGTATTGAGCATTTAATGTTAGGTATTTTTCTAGGAACTTTACATGTATTGATTCATTTAATATTGCTAACAACATAGGTAACTGCGTCACCATTTTATGGATGAGAGAAGTAAAGGACTGTGAGGTCAAGCAATTTGCCCCAAATCTCACAGCTAATAAGTGGGAGAGTGGGGAAGGTCTGGCATCAGAGTCCATGATCTTAGATAGAACATTCTATCAGCGAGGCCTTTAACATCTCAGAGCCTCTTGGATGGCTGTTGTAAAGGATTAGAACAAAAAATGTAAATCGGACCAGGCACACAGTAGATGCTTAACAAATGGTACTATTACTACATGGCGATTCTAGTCTAAGATAGAAAGAGTGTGCTATGATTAAATTCAGTTATAATCACAATCGGACAATTATAATTTTGTTCTACTTGATTATAGTATCCAGCATTGGTAACATAAGCAGAGATAATGTTGCTCTCTAGCTCAGCATAGTGGCACGCACCTGTAGTACCACCTACTGAGGAGGCTGAGGCAGGAGAATTGCTTGAACCCAGGAGTTTGAGGCCACCTTGGGCAACACAGCAAGATCCCATCTTTTAAAAAAAAATTAAACTCCTTTAGGTTTAATCTAAGTAAATACTTGGTTTCAGGATACTGTCACAGAAGATTTTGCTCTCTTAATAATTTTGCTTGTGGGGGCCAACCATGGGTCCCCAAGTGAGTCAAATATAAGGAGAGTCCAAAATCACCATCAGAATGCCATATGGTGTTATTGTAAATGTGAAGTTATTTTCTGACAAGGTTGTACTGATTTATACTCTCACCAGCATTGTAAGACAGTTCCTATTTTTCTACTTCCTTGCTAACACTTGGTATTAGTGGTCTTTAATTTTAGCCATCATGATGGATAAGTAATGGAATACCACTGTGTTTTTAGTTTACATTTCACCGATTACTAATGAGATTGAGCATTTTTTCATATGTTTATTGGCCATTGGATTTCCTCTTTTGTAAAGTGTCTGTTCAAGTCTTTTGACCATCCTCCTACAGTTGTTTCTTTCTCATTGATTTGTGAAAATTCTTTATATAGTCTAGATATTATACCTTTGTTGATTATATGTATTGCAGTTACATTCTTCTACTCTGTGGCTTGCCTTTTAACTTTTTTATGTTATCTTTTGATGAACATAAAATTAGTTTTAATTTAGTTAAATTTATCAATCTTTTTTTTAATGGGAAGTATTTTGATATCATAAAAAATACATCCTTGGCTGGGTGTGGTGGCTCATTCCTCTAATCCTAGCACTCTGGGAGGCCGAGGAGTGAGATCACTTGAGGTCAGGAGTTTAAGACCAGCCTGAGCAAGAGAGAGCCCCTGTCTCTATCAAAAATAGAAAAATTTGTCTGTGTGTGGTGGTGCACACCTGTAGTCCCAGCTACTTGGGAGGCTGAGGCAGGAGGATTCCTTGAGCCCAGGAGTTTGAGGTTGCAGTGAGCTATGATGATGCCACTGCACTCTACCCAGGGTGACAGAGGGAGACTCTGTCTTAAAAACAAAAAACAAACAAAAAAATTCCTTGTCCCAGAAGATATTCTCCAATATTACCTTCTCAAAGCTTATAGTTTTGTCTTTCACATTTTGGTTTTTAATGCACTGGAACTGATTTTTGCTTATGGTGTGAGGTAGGGGTCCTGTTCTTTTTCTTTTTTTCCTCCTAATGGATACCCGATTGTCCCAGTTTGACTTATTAAAAAGCCTGTCCATTCCTCACTGCTATGCAGTGCTATTTCTGTCATATATCAAGCATCTATTTATGTATGGGAATGTTTTTAGGTTCTCTATTCTCTTTAGTGGTCTATTTGAGCATCTCTAAACCCATATCTTATTATCTTAACTATTGTAGTTTTATAATGTCTTGGTATCTGGTGGAGCAACACATCCTTCCTTGTTCTTCAAGAGCATCCTGGCTATTCCTGGCTTGTGCATTTCCATGTAAACTTTAAAAAACATTAGCTTGTAAATTTCAAAACTGTTGGGATTTTGGTTGAGATTGCATTGAATCTATGAAATCAATCTGGGAGGAACAGACATCTCTACAATACTGAGTCTTCCAGTTCTTGAACATAGTATGTCTCTACAGTTACTTAATATGTCTTTTGAAATGTTTCAATACATTTTTAAAAATTAATTATTTTGTTTCTTTAGAGACAGGGTCTTGCTAGGTTGCCCAGGCTGGCCTCCAACTCCTGGCTCAAGCAATCCTCCCGCTTCAGCCACCCTAGTAGCTGGGACTACAGGCACATGCCACTGGCTAAATTTTATAATTTATCCTGTAAATGTCTTGAACATCTTTGTTAGATTTATTCCTAGGTTGTTGATTTAAAACAAAAAATTTTGTAAATGGTATTTAAAAAAACTTTTTAATAATAAAAATTTCAAACATATACAAGAATATAGTATAATGAACTCCAGGTAGCTACAACCCAGCTTTGATAATTATTACTCATAGCTTATTTTATTTATACCTTACCCATCCCTAGATTATCTTGGAACAAATCCAAGAGTGTATCATTTCCTCCTTAAATAATCTTAAATCTCCTTGAAATATATACATTCTCTCTCTTTTCCTCTCTCTCTCTATTCTTGCAAGTTATTTGTTGTAGAAACTGGTAGTATGTCCTGTAGTTTCCGTAGGTACAATCTATGGTATCTTCGGCATACCCCTCTGTCCTTTGCATTTCCTGCCAGTAGGTAATTAATCTGGAGGCCCAATCAGATTCAGGTTCTATTTTTTTTTTTGCAAGAATATCTTGCAGTATTGTGGTTCTGTGGGTGGTGTTATGTATGTTGTCTTTTAAAAGTTTTATTTTCTGTTTGTGGCTGGTAAATAGAAATATAATTGACTTTTGTATATTGATTTTCTATCAGCAATCTTGCTAAACCTTGCTATTAAATCTAATTGGTTATCTACAGATTCCTTTGAATTTCTACACATAAAATCATATTATTTGAAAATTTTTTCCCTTTCCAATAAGGTTCATTGTATGCTTGCTGTAGATGTCCTTTATCAGGTTAAGGAAGTCCCCTTAAATTCATAGTTTGTGAGAGTTTTAATCATGATTGGATGTTGAATTTTACCAAATGCTTTTTCTGCATCTATTGATATGATCATGTGGATTTTCTTCTTTAGCCTGTTAATATGGTAGATCAGATTGATTCGTTTTCAAATGTTGAATCAGTTACGCATTCCCAGTACAAACTCCACTGGGTCATGATGTATTATCTTTTTTATACATTGCTGGGTTCAATTTGCTAATATTTTGCTGAGGATTTTTACATCTTTTAATATGTTCATGATGGATATTGGTATGTAGTTTGCTTTTCTTGAATTGCCTTTACTTAATTTTGGTATCAGGGTAATGCTGGCATCATAAAATGAATTGGGAAGTATTATTTTCTATTTTCTTAAAGAGATTGTCTTCCATGTCTCTTACCCTCTTTTGTTCATTGAGGTATTTATTTATTTATTTTTGTTTGGGGGAAGATATTATATTATAATATTTATTGGAAAATACTGTGAACTCTCAATGACAGCATCAAAGTCAATCTCCATATATTACCTAGGTGGTATATAGAGGAGGCTGATAATGGCTTTGCTTTGGGAATTCTTCTGGTACAAGTCAATATGTGTTGTTAGTCAGAACTACACCTTCTATGAGGCATAGGATCTTTGGAAACATAGAAAGAACTGAGGAATTTTTTTTTTTTTTTTTGAGACAGAGTCTCACTGTGTTGCCCGGGCTAGAGTGCCATGGCGTCAGCCTAGCTCACAGCAACCTCAAACTCCTGGGCTCAAGTGATCCTCTTGCCTCAGCCTCCCGAGTAGCTGGGACTACAGGCACGCGCCACCATGCCCGGCTAATTTTTTCTATATATTTTTAGTTGTCCAATTAATTTCTTTCTATTTTTAGTAGAGACGGGGTCTCGCTCTTGCTCAGGCTGGTTTTGAACTCCTGAGCTCAAACAATCCGCCCGCCTCAGCATCCCAGAGAGCTAGGATTACAGGTGTGAGCCACCGCGCCCGGCCCTGAGGAATTTTTTGACAGGTTAAAAGAGACAAAATCCTGCCCTGGTGAAGCTTATATTACAATGTACAGAGTATCTTATAATAAATGTTTTTAAGCTTAAAATATAAAAATAACAAGTTCTCAGTAAAAATTTGTGGTGTGGTCACGTGCAGTGTGATGATAGAGGAATGAAACTGATTTTTACCAGCCACTCAGAACATACATGTTATTTCTTTTGGCTCAGTAAGTGCACAGAAACCACATTAGGGTTAAGGTCAACCTGGAGGGAAATTTCAAATACATGTTTAACATTTTATTGATGACCTGGGTGAGGATCTTGTAGACAAGGGATGATAGATTTAGGTCTCCAAAATATGTCAAAGGACTAGATTAATGTGTCTACAGTAAGGCATCTGGGTCCAAAAACATTGATTTCCCATCTAGAGGGTTTGAAAAATGTGACTTGGTAGCAATACATTTGAACAAAGCTTTCAGGTCTGGCTGATAGTATTGTTTCAAATCTTTCTTGTCAGTATTGTATGTTCACTGACATTCTAGAGACCAGTTTAGTTTCCCAACAAAGGGAAATTGATCTTTCCCCTCAGCCAGGAATGGCTTCCTATGCCCCCAAAGTTCTACTCAGGTGTTGAGGGACATACTGCCCAGTGGGCCTCTTCCTCATCATCCCAATTAGAATCCCTTTCTCCTTCTATACTTTTTGCAACTTTATTGTAATAGTTCAATCTTTTTTGAAAATAAACTGAACACATTTAAGTTATACAATTTTATCAGTTTGACACAGGTATATATCCCATGAAATTATCACTACAATCAAGAAAACTATTTTAATTAGTCCTGTAGTTCCTTCATGCCCCTCTGTAATCCCTTCCTTCCTCCACCCCTCTCCCCAGGCAACCACTGTTACTATGGATTAGTTTGCATTTTCTGGAAGTTTATATACATGAAATCATATAGTATGTTCTCTTCTTTGCCTGGCTTCTTTCACTCAGCATAATAATTTTGAGCTTCATCTATACTGTTGCATATATCAATAGTTTGTTCCTTTTTATTGCTGAGTGGCATTCCATTGTATGGATGTACCAGAATCTGTTTACCTATTTACTCACTGCTGAAACTTTTAAAAAAGTTTTAGCTGTTCTAATAGGTGTATGACCACTGAGATTTTAATTTTACTACTGCGTTTGGTTCTTTTTCAAATCTGCTATGCCATTTTAAAAACTTTTCTGCTCCCTGAAGATATTTTACAAGCTTATTATTTATTTTTTTTAAATCTGGTGAGCCAGTTTTAAAATCTTTCTCTCTTAATTCCAATGTATGTAGTGGGTTTGGGTTTGTTTCTGCTGTCGTTTCTGTCAAGTCTCACTTATTTTCCTTGTAAGCCTGGTGATTTTGACTTGCTGGTCACTGCCCTGGAAAATGTTTGTGTAGGGGGTTAGGATGAGGTTATAGGGGTTAGGATAAAAGTGTTCTTCAGAGACTTTCTTCTTGTTTTGTGAACTAAAAATGAAATCCTAAGCCCTCTGCTAACTGAACGGACCCCTCTCGGCCAAGGGGACCCCAGAAACACCTTAAAACTGAGTTCTCAGCATGACAGGATGGGTGCGTAAAAGCACAACTACATGCGTATGATTTCTGTTCATAAATATTCATGACCCCTCCTATAGCTTGTTGAATATGTATATTTGACTACCCTGCTCAGTATAAAATCTTGTTCCCTTTCGTCTCTTCTTTGAAGCACATGTGCCTGGCTTGACGCCAAGGCTCTGCTTCCCAACCTGCTGGAATGGCCACCCAACAGGCTGCTATCCTTTATGAGAAATAAAGCTCTCTTTTTTCCAAAGTATAAACCTTGTTAACTTTTTTTAGTTAACAGTTTATACCAGATATCTGGAACTATTAGTAAACAAGGGGACACTTCAAATTGAATGTATGGCTTGAGTTTCCCTGGCTGCCTCAAGCTATGTGTACGTGGGTACAAATCCATTTGAGGTGGACTGGTGGCCGTAATTTCTTCAGGGGAAGTTTGTGCTCCCGTTCCTCTGGTATTTTGCTTTGCTCAGTGACAAGGCAGCTTTGTCTACAGTTCCCTGGTGTTGAAGGGGAGCAAGGGCATGCTTATTGGCTTCTTCTTAACTTGGAGGGCTCTCCTTTTGCACTCCTAACAATGAGGAGGGTCTCCTAACAGATTCTCCAACTTGTACAGGCTTTAGATCTTAACTTTGGTCCTCTGGCACAGAAGCATTCAGTAATAACAAATGCCCTCCTAGCAAAATGGGCCAATTTGATACTATAATATTCTATTTATCGCTCTGATCAAAGGCTTTCATATAAAAATTGGTCACTGAGCTGCCTAATATCTTTTCAGGTCTTCAATGCTTTCAAGGTCATTTTAAAACCCGTATTTTCTGCAGCACTTTTCATTTTTTCAGCCGGAGGATTGATCCAAATAACCTAGTCTACCATTACAGGAAACAGGAAATAAATTTACTTTTTGCACTGCCATTTCTTAGGATTCCTCCAGAGGATTCAGAGTTCTAGATATGAGTGAAAATGATTTATATAGATGATTCGACTAGGGAGATGTCTGGAATCTATAATACATAATTATTTTCAATAAATGCTCATGGCCGGGCGCGGTGGCTCACGCCTGTAATCCTAGTACTCTGGGAGGCCGAGGTGGGCGGATTGTTTGAGCTCAGGAGTTTGAGACCAGCCTGAACAAGAGCAAGACCCCATCTCTACCAAAAATAGAAAGAAATTAATTGGACAGCTAAAAATATATACAGAAAAAATTAGCCGGGCATGGTGGCGCATGCCTGTAGTCCCAGCTACTTGGGAGGCTGAGACAGTAGGATTGCTTGAGCCCAGGAGTTTGAGGTTGCTGCGAGCTAGGCTGAGGCCACGGCACTCGCCCCAGGCAAGAGAGTGAGACTCTGTCTCAAAAAAAAAAAAAATAAATAAATGCTCACATGGCAACATTCAAGATGACATTTTGTAAAATGTAAATATCAGTAATAGCACAATGGTATCATCATTAAAAAGACTTAGAAATTGCTTTCCTCCTGCTTATGCTTAAACTGCTTCTTGAAGATCAGACTGAAAGACAATGCCAGATGGAAGGCTGCTGCTTCTCTGTCTGGGCTCGTGTTTCCTTATGTGTAAAATGATGGTGTCTGAAGTCCTCATCAGCTCCAATATTCTAAATTTATGAATATTTTTGAGAAACATGGGATAACTGAAAGTGGTCATCAAGCCAAAGAGATTAACTGAGAAACCTCTTAATTAGGGAGAAAAATGGGTGAAAAAGAAGTTAGAAATGTCTATGGACTCAATGTCTTTGGTCTCTTTTAGGTGGGCTCAAGTATTTGGCAGGGGGAACTGGCAGAATGCCTAATGGTTGTTATTTTTTGTTACATGAAACAAAACTCAGACATTAAGTTAATCTATTTTGTACTAGATATACTCTAGTATATTGCCCAAGTATTAATACTAACAAAGGTAGACCATCAACATTTTATGAAAAATATTAATAGTTCGACTAAAGCAAATTGTAACAATCATAGCAGCCATAGATTTTTATCAAAATAAAGTGATCTGTGACTCCTTTTCTCTCAGTTAAAATATTGCCTAAAGTCCCTGTCTGACTTCAGCCTGTTTTCAGAGATTAAACTTCCTAGCAGAAAAGGTATTTTTAAAGGAAGAAAGGTAAAGAATGAAGCTTCTGACTGCCCTTTTCTTCTAATGGTGAAACACATTTTATCTTCAGATATCCTGAGTGACACTGAATCATGGCATCCAAGTTTTTTGCTGGTGATGCAGTGGGATGGGCATGAAAACACGTAGTGGGGCAAGGAAAAGGTATGTTATTTAACAATGCCATTCTCAGAGAATTGCAACGTCATATAGAAATGGAGGGCTCTGCTGTGAGACCATGATTTGACCCAAGGCTAGTCACTCAACCTCTCTCCAGGCCTTTCTTCCCTTTACGTAAAACGAAGCCCTGACTCTGTAACTAGGATCTCACTAGATGCTGAGGATTTATAGTTCTTGGATGACTAATTTGAATTTTGTTTGGCTACTACAGCAAAACGTGTTTGAATATATCAAATAGGTTTTGTACTATAAAATAATATAAAGTTGAAAAATGGATAGGCAAGGCTTCGTTTTTATTATAAAACAAAGCAATACAACAAAAACATACCATTCCTGAAGTTCAGGAGAAGGAATGAGACCTGCAGTTCCATTTTTGGAGTTTTCCAGTTTACCCTGCCACCAATTGTGATCATCCTTACTGATAATCTGGATGATGTCACCAACTCTGAATCGAATGCCAGCTTCTTTGCAGGGGATGAGGTCATCCTTGGCTGGATCATATTCAAATTGTGCTCTTACATAGATCTATAAAACAGGAGTTTGTAAGAAAGGATGCCATAGTGATGTGAAAGAAAACAGTTAGCTTTAATTAAACAACCACACACCAACACTTAAAATACAAACAGGACATCAGATGGTGAAAGCAGAAAACGATGCGTGGAAATATGACACAAAAAACTTCTACCACTAGAAACAATATTTTGATGTATACAGGTTTAAAAGTTTGCTGTTTTTATTTGGAAGGAACACTTGAAATACTTATTTGATAAAAATATGGATGTAATTTATGCCTTTATTATAACAGAATAGGCCTATAATTATAGAAAAGTATGCCTATGATTTTTTAAACTTGCACTGGTTATGTTGGTGTTACAGCTAAGTTGGCATGACCATGTGGCAGCCCTTAAGCCATAAATCCTAGCAGTCAGGCTAGGTTTTAACCCCAAAGCAACACACAATATAAAATTAGCAAGAACTCTGGGTTGGTATCTTGCTGTAAAATGCCTTTACATGACAACTGGCAGCGTGTCTACACACTGCTGATAAACTTAAATGTAACTCAAACAATTTTATAAAAAAGTTTTAAAAAATAGTTTTATTTTTAAAAAAGGATTTAGGTGTTATATTTGTATTTTATTCTTCTGAGAGAATAAAAATAAATTTGAACTCTAGCTTTGCCAATGTAATACTTGAAATCAGCACAGAGCTTGAAGACATGCATAGTTCAAGGCTCTGAGTTTTATGATATGTGAATTTACTTAAGAAACTGATTAGCATACAAAGGGTTATCATAGAAACATTTTATGAATTACTAGATTTCTAAATGCTTTAAAATAAGATACTGTATATCCAATGTTGCATCAATCATGCAGTCTTAAGACTAAACTATGGGTGAATTCTATCAGGTGCTAACTTATGCAAATCTTAACTCTAAATATGATTACTTTTTAATACTACATTTCAGGATAAAATCTCATAAAAATTCTATCTCTTGAAATTAAATTTAAATATTAATGTTTAAGTCACTGTAAAACCAACCTGAAGGCTTTGGAACCATTGTGTGATTTTTCTGTTTATTTTCAGCAATCCAGCCTATAAAATTAACAAGTCTCTGCATTTGGACCTAAAATCTATATCTTTAAAGTGCTGGCAATCTGAAAGTTACTTGTTAGTGTTAGGCAGCACTTAACTTTTCATGTTTGAACTAATATAGGCACATCGGGAGATAAAGCCAAGATATTTATGTTTTTTTTCTTATTTTTCATTGCAAATGGCTTTTAGAAATAGACACGCAAATACAAATTGAAGAAAAAGCTTTCAACTTCAGAAAATTATTGCTTAAAAATGTTCATCAACATGTACTTTTCAGTTATTCTTAGAATTCTAAGAATTTTGTAACCTTTAAAATTCTTTTCCACCCATAAGACCTCTGAAGGCTGAATTCTTAACCATCAACACAAAATTATCAGGTTGAAATTACAATAACCATCACAGCTACAAAGATGTGAGGAAAAAAATCTTTATAGAGTATTAGTCATGTGTAATGTGTTAAAATGAAATGGTACAAGCTCTCAATGCTCAAATGTTATGGTCCAAAATGCAGACATTATGGGATGGAAAGGGTTAATAAAGGCTTGGCTATTAGCAGCTCAGTTTAGAGAAGTTTCTAGAGAGGATATCTATTCACCTGTCGTCCTTTTGGTTGGGTAGTTGATGGCAAGTCCTGCAGAATAAAGCCAACCCAGGAGAAAAATTTTCATTTACTTTTCAAGAGTACAAGGTAATTTGTGTGTTCTGTTACAATATGGTTAAAAAAATGAGCTAGATTTAAGTTGTAAAGAGATAATATACATTATTCCATTTCTCAGAAATGTTGAGTTATCCAAAAAATCAAACCCAGGCCATTTAGCAGCAAGCTGAAGAAAGCAGGTAAGTTTAAGCAGAGAGAAAATGTGTTCTTAAGAAACAACTCAGCATCTTCAACACAAAAGCCACTGCATGTGAAATAGCCTATTAAAAAAAACACCCCAAAATAAAAAGAGCTGTTGCCCTTTTCAACTTAGGCACTGTAACCATTTAGATTTTGAAAAACTCAATGGCTATATGGCTTTTCACCATCTTAAAAGTATTAATTGTTAACTGTTACAAATGAATTCCTTTGGTAGCCTATTTTAAAGTTGAAAATAAAATCATAGACAATTTTCTTCCATAATTTCTCTTACTAATAGAATATCATTCCATTTGAGATGATCTCTAAATTATTACAATTTTACCTGATAAAAAAGTTGATAGATTCTTAAAGGGCAAATGAAGTCAGGATAGAGGAATATGAATACTGCTGCATTATTAGAACTCTCAATAATTTCAACTGAGTGATGAACAGCAGTAACAGCAACTTAGAGAAGATTTGGTTACCCCAAAATATTGCAAACCTGCACCTATAAGTGCTTCCATTTGTTTAAATAAATTAAAAACAATTCTTTCTATATTCCAAAATGAGTAGTTCTGAAAAAATGTAAAATTCCAAGTTTAAGTCAAATATATTAAGTACTTTGTGTTAAAGATGTGATAACAGCGTGGCTTAAGTGCAGTTTGAAGCCAGTTCCTTTTGCTTTTCATATCCAGGCAAGGCTTATAATTCACAAAAATATGTGCACGTACCACAATAACAGAGGGCACACCAATTCGTAAACTTAGATAGCGGAAACTAAAACACGTTGCTGATATCACTCAATAGAAAACTACAAAGCCCAAGAATACCCAAATGCCTACTCTGCAAAATCCTTACATTTCTTTATCTTTCTCAAATTAAAGAAAATATTTAGAAATTTAAACAAATTTCCATTTACAACCTTTGCATAGGTTTAAGCAAAGTCATACATACTAGTTGGGTGGTATAGAAATATTTTTGGAACGACCAAAGCAGTCTTGAACTATATTTCTTCAGATTTAACTAATTAAAGGGGTTTTAATGAGAAGGAAATGTTGAAAAAGATTTTCCAGGAGTATACTGCATTGTAGCTGTAGTAGCCTTGTATATCGGCAGAAGACAGTATTTCCACTGAACACATGTAACTAGAACACTCATGGCAGGTGAGCACCAACAAAATTGTCACACTTGGCTGTGTGGAGCTAGAGTTCTTACCGAAACAGAATTGTTAGTGCTGCTATGACCATTAGCTGGGGACTGTCTGGAAGTGGAGGGGGAATCTCTCTGAAATAAGACACAAGGTTCATTAACACAGAACACCAGCACAGAAACACAGAGATATTTACATCAACAGTTACAACCACAGTCTGAAACCATTTCCTTTGAGGTTTGAGCTGTAAAGGTGCCATTCTGACTTACTTGCATGATTTCACAGAAGTATGAAAAAAATTTTGCAATTTGAAGATTCACGTACTGTGATGACTGTGCCATTCATTAATCATTTCTTTACTGTCCCTAACATTCTATAACCTTTGCTTTCTTTTCATGAGACCCAGAAGAGTGCCTTGATATTAAAACCCTATCAAGTATCATAAGATGACAAATATTACTATAAAATTATTGTGCCAAAGATCCCAGCTGCTTAATTTTTATTAAAGATTAGCTTTGAAAAGTATTTAATATTAGGTACCTCAGTGTCAAGAATTGCTGAATGACTCAATTTGAAGAGAAATGAACCTAAGAAAAAGACTTCACATGTTGTAATCACCTTAGAATCTTTCTAGAATAAATATTACTAATAAGGGTAAGAGAGATATATATTAGAGAATAATTCTTTGTTTCTTAAGATCATTTTAGCAGATTGATTAAAACGAAAATCCCCAGCCTATAACAATATTACACTTCTGGCAAAGATCTCAGGAGCCACAGCCACTCTCTCTATATCCACACTCCTGGATCGCACTCTTTCTACTATTCTACACACAGTCTTTTCCAGGTTCCATTCCCTTAGTGTCCAAATCAACTTTACCAATAAGAATAAGGAGAGGAAGAAAATAAGTATTTTCCAATTTTTGCTTTAGTAGAGTTCTTTTAAGCCTTTGAAATGTGCTCAAAAGACATTTGTTCATTCTAGATGATTCAAAGAAAATTTCTGAAACTTGTTAGCCTTAAAGGTGATGGGATCCCTTAGAGGAGTGTTCTCAAATGTTAGTAAGCAAGATTAATCTCCAGGTGCCACCCTCGGAGACTCGAGTCAGTAGGGCCATGGTGAGGGGCAGAGGGGTCCACTCTTTTACCAAGGGCCTGGGGAATGCAAATGCAGGTGGCCAGAGAGTCTTTCTTTGGAAAGCATTGCCCTGGCTGGAAAGAGTCCAACCATATGCTTGAATTCTGCCAGGGCACAGGAGGATCAAAAGGTTACATGGAGCTAGGAGGGGAGCATCATTATTTTTTACTATTCAAAGGTGAAGAAGGTAAGGGGAGGGGGCTCTTCTTACTCGAGAGTATAGAATTCACATGTATAATACTGGTTCCACCCCAAAACTAATTCAACTACTTAAAAAACAAAAGAGATACCTATGTTATATCAATAACTAACAGTATCTTTTGGTTAGTTAGCCAAAAAGACAAAAATCAATTGTACTGACTAAATTTCTTCCACAGATAAGAAATGATATAAGGAACATCTGTGATTTTTAGAATATTAAAATTATTTACATAAAATGTACACGTGACATTCTCTTTCCCAGAAAGGTTCGTGCTCTAGGTAACAAATTTCAATTATTTGAATCCTGGAGCAGAAGCAGTTCTGTATTTTCTTTTGAAATATGCTATCAATTGAAGTTCCATAAAAAGCCACCAAGAGGAGCTCAAGGCCCGATATAACGGAAATCCCAATTGTTACAGCTCACTAAAAATATACTTGACAAAACTACAAATTCTTATACATGTCTTGAATAGGTTTAGAAAAAAAATATGAAGCCTCTGATTTTTCTTGTGAAATTTATAGCATCAATGGAGACCGGAAGAAGTATTACAATTTCTCCCTCAAACTCTTCTAAGTACAAATCCAGTAAATTACCCATCAGTCTTAAAAATTAACTTTAGGAAATGTGTACTTCATATTGATGTACACGTACTTTGAAGATACACATGAAAGAACAAGCTTTAATAAGCAGTACTCAAGCTGAATGTGCAATGACCAAATAATGATACCATTTATGCCAGTTTATATTTCTAATATAAAAAGAATAGATTTTTGAATCTCATTTAATAACCAACATAAAACTGAATAGTATAGGTTGGAAGAACTACAATTTCTATAGGACAAAACTATTTTAAGAAGGAAACTTTGGGGTTGTATTACTCTAGAAAACTTACTTGTTTACAAATTACATAACATTTCCAAATTTAAACAATTTTACAAAAGGTTGCAAAAGCCTATATCCCTCTAGTAAAGTCAATTATCAATTCATCACAGACTTAATATCCATCTAGATACCTGTCACAATTACTTGAATGAACTCTATCTCAATAGGAATAGATCACTTCTGAGATTCTTGGAAAGAAGAACTATCTGTGTGATTTCTTAATAAGAGAAGTGAATGTACTTCCTGGAAATATTATTGCAATTATGATCTTTATTATTTTCCCCTCAGAGAGTCTTTTTTTAAAAAAATTAATCCTTATGTCATTGTTTGTAGCTTCTCTATATTTTGCTTAGATTTCAGCCTGCAAAAAGCTCAAGTGCTAAGGAGATCCACATGGAAGCAGGGCTGAGTAGGTGGATGGGACCTACTCTGTTCCGTTATCTTTGTTGTAAAATTGGTGTGCAGTGATCTAACAGCACAGGCAGAAACAATTTCCCAGAAAGCAAAACATTCAGCCATCAGCAGACAGTTAGTTAAGAACTCAGAGGAGATGGGGGTGGTTTGTTAGCCTCATTACCTCACAGGACGAAGACTGAGTGCGGTAACTTGGCACGATCTTGAAGGTAATACTCCCCCGCATTTCCCTCTGGAGGAAAAAAAAAAACGGAGAGTTCTCTTACAAACCGACGTTGCACTTAAAACCATGTAGGGAACCACTCAAAGCGTGGGGGTAGTTAGTGCAAGCCATCTGAGAGTACACAGCCCTAAAATGAAACTTAAGTTATACAGCAGGCAACTGAGCGGTCTAGGTTTACAGTAGAGGAATTTTCTGGGAAAAGCCCAGCAAAGTCAAGGCTGATTGCCCTGTTGATAAAGCAGTGGTCTCACGGACCTCCGATACTACCTTTTTATAGACATGAATACAGAACTCTCTAAGTGACATGCCTTTCGAAAGTAAATATAAATTGAACTAGATAATAGACTAAGTAATTACATAAAAATTATATTTAGTATGCTATATTATAATGGTCCATTCCACAAAAATTGCTTTTTACTTATTAATTTTCGCTTTATTTTTATTGTAGTGAGTCTGTGGTGCTTACTGCATACTTAATAGGCATTCATAATATGAGAGCTGCCACACTGTAGTGGGATGAGGGACCCAAGTTCCAAAACACTTCCTCTGCTCGCTATGACAATGAACATAGGCAAAGGTCTATCGTTTTGCTTTTTTTTAAACCCAAAGTCTAATTTGGGTTTAATCTAATATCTAATATCTAATCTAATAGCTAACACAGATGTTAGATATGTATGGTCAAAAATGGCCTGGTTTACGGTGACTTTCTTCCCCTCTGTGCTGTAGAGAAATCCACTACAGCTGGCTATGACTCAGCTAAACAGGAAAGGGGTTTCTGACATTGCTGATGTCAGGCGAGTTGAGGTCAGTGAGAGACCAGTTCCCATGTACACACACTGAGAAGGTTTTCTTTAACCATCTGCTCAGTAAGACACAGGAGGTAAAGAATGGAAGGAGAGTGTTAGAGCCCATACTGCTAAAGACAGGCAAAATGTTTCTAAAATCCATTCCATATAAACATTTTCCTAGTTATCAGTTTTATGAATGTTGTGTAAATTCAAGTCCACACGAATTACAGAACGAGAAATACTCTGATTACAAAAGAATACCCCTCCTTTGTGTGTAAAAAAAAACCTAGCTAACAAACTAAAAGTCAATTTTAGAAAAAGAAAAACTTTCATTTACTTACAAGCATTTTTTGTAGCTGTTCCACAGTTTGGTTAGCCACACTGATGCCATTGATTTCTCGAATTTCATCGCCAACATGAAGTGTGCCTGAGAAATTACACAAAATGATAAGCATGAAATGATATGTGCTTTTATAGTAATAAAATGCAGAGGCAGGAATGTAATTTTTTAAAATTAAGTTGAATATTGAAGGCCAATATTTCAGAAACAGGTGCAAGTTTGCCTGCAGCAGAATTATTTATTAAATAACTGATATAGTAAACTTGCCAAAACAGATATATCTACTTGTGGAAGGCAGAGTTTTGATGGATGGCCATGGAAATCTGTTTATTTTTCTGAGAGAGGTGGTATGTACAGTGGTTTAAAAGTATGGCTTCTGGGTTCAGTCCAGACTGTCTGGGTTCAAATCCTAGCTTTCTCATTCACTAGCTATAAAATCTTGGGTAAGTTACTGAAACTCTCCATGCCTCAGTTTTCACATTTATAAAATGATACTCATCTCATAGGATCGTTTTGAGGACTAAATGAATGTAATACATGTAGAAGGCACACGTGTTCTTGGCACATGCTGAGCACCATGTCATTGTTTGCTGCTATTATTATTATTTACCAAATATGATATAAAGGTTGTCAGTTTTCCAAGAATTGTGATATCTACATAACATTGAACTTACATTAAACATAATTTAATCTTTTAATAATACTTTGGTAGGCATTTCAGCATCCCATAATACTTCAACTGGAAAAAGTGACCAAGAACCAATGTTCAGAATGTTATTTACAATTTTGATTCCTTATTTATAAATTGTGAGCATGTTTATACACTGGCCTGGCTTCATTACAAAAAGCTCACAGTATCTTTTGGAGGTACATACTAAGATATGTATGAATAAAATGATAAAATGCCTGAGTTTTGTGTCAGAATAATCTGGGGGCGTGGGTAGTAGGGCAAATAGAGAACAAACTGGTGTGGCCATGAGTAATGATAATTATAGGTGGGTTATGGGTACATGGGTGATCACTGCACTATGCTCTCTACTTGAACTCACTGTACTATTTTTTCTATGTATGTTTAAAAATTAACATAATAGTCCCCTACCCGACCCCTCACTGCAAAAAATTAACATAATAAAAAATGAAATAAAAATTGAGTGACTTTTGCTTCCAACATGGCTGATTAGGCACTCAGAGCCTTTCTCACAATCATATCCTGCCTACGGCACACCTCTTCAAGTGTTACTCGTCTCACGAAAGGAGTACAAATCTCTAAGAACCCTTCCCACTTTCATCTCCACTCTCCCCTCGATACAAAAGGACCCTATGAGCTGGATCCAGTGCAGTGGCAAACTAAGGATGAGGTGAACTAGTGGGAAGGGTGAATGCCAGAGTAGCAATGCCTGCTAGCTGGAGTCTGTGTGCTGGGCCAATAGCAAGCTAGAAAGCTGAGCCTAGGACCCTGCAGGGAGCCAAGACCTAGATCAGTGGGCACCTCATGGCAAATGGTAGAACAAAGAACAAACCCTTTCTGGAGGCAAGTGTTCTCAGTTTAGGTCCACAGGACTTCCCCTGATTAGAACAAGCAAAGAGTTCACAATCAAAGATCACCAAACAAATAATAAGGCAAGCTAATATGTGTGAGAGTCACCAGGAATAGCACATACAGATTTAGATCCTTAAGGATGATAAATTCTGGAATGGTCAGATATACAATATAAGATAGCTACATGTTAAATGTTAGAAAAAAATAAAGAACTCAGTTGCAAGGATAAGCATGCAATAAGAGACTGTCGGGTGTGAGCAGACAGGTCTGAAAATAAAAATAAAAACAAATGACTAGTACTTATAAAAATATATATATATAACTGGTGATATAAGCTAATGAATGGATTAGTTAAACAGGAGTTCAAATATGGCTGAAGAGAGTTAAAGTGAACTGGAAGATATAACCAAAAAATTATCTAGAACATATGCCAGAGAAATAAGGAAAAAAGGAAACAAAAAATAAAAAGAATATATGAAAAAGATATTAAGATACATGGGGGAAATGTCTAATACATTTAACTGGAGTTCAGAAAGAGAGAATAGAGAGATGGAGAAGAGGCAATGTTTGAAAGAATATGGTGGCAAATTTTCTTGAATTGATGAAAACATGATTGCACAGATTCAGAAAGAATAGGATAAATAAAAAGAAGTCCATGCTGAGAGATAGTGAAACTGTAGAACATTAAAGACAAAGATCTTAAAACATCCAGAAAGGACAAATCACCTACAAAGCAAGGGAAATTGTAGTGACATCAGCCTTCTCAATATCAAACAATGCTCCCCAAAGGATGGTCTGAGATGCAAGAAGGAATGGTGAGCAAATGAAATCATAAAAACTTATACAAATCAAACAAAAATGGCCATATATATTAAAACTAATTTCAAATTTATGGATTTAAAATAGGACAGAACCAGAACACTGGGCAAAGGAAGAGCATATAAATCAGAAGGAGTGTGATAGAATTTAGTGTTCCAATGTCTTTGTATTGTCCGGCAGTGGGATTAAGATACTGTAACTTTAGTATATTCAAAGTTAAATATGAATAATAAAATTTCAAGGAAACCACTAAAAGAATAGAAATAAGGTGCAGAAATTCTAAACTACTAGTGGGGGAAAAATGGAACAGAAATATGAACAAGAAGATCAATTAAAAAATGGAATAAAAATAAATTAAAAAGCCAGATGGTAGAAATCATCACAATAAATATTAATGGATCGATCCATTATAAGATAGAGATCGTCAGTGTACATTAAAAAATGAAACACTCAGCTTTGGAAATGTTTTTTTTTTTTT